TCCATCCATCCATCCATCCATCCATCCATCCATCCATCCGTGTAGTATAGCATATCCACCATTTGGGTCCCAAAGTTTAACATCCTGTTTAACTACTTACTTCATCTCATGTGCACTTCAAAGAAATACTGTTTAGAAGTGTTTTTTTTGTTGTTGTTTTTTCGAGACAGGGTTTCTTTGTGTAGCCCTGGCTGTCCTGGAACTCACTCTGTAGACCAGGCTGGCCTCGAACTCAGAAATCCACCTGTCTCTGCCTCCCAAGTGCTGGGATTAAAGGCATGCGCCACCACTGCCTGGTGTTTAAAAGTGTTCTTTGTAACAAGAGCAAGGAGCATTTTCTAGAGAAAAAAAATCATTTGGGAGCAGATTGCTTCTGTTGAGGTAATTTGGATGAAACTACATTAAAGGACAAAAAATCTGATCAAAGACAAATATAAAAAGCAGTACATGCACACTTCAGGGCTCAGCACCACTGACGGTCTCTCATCTATTTCAGGACCATATGCTCGTACAGGTCCAAACATGGAGGTCCATGTTAACTGAATCACTAAAGAGACTGAGTGCACTCGGCGTCTTCTGAGTAGGCAGGTGAAGTGTAATGATTTTAAGAAAGTGTTAGATACAAATGTAAACCAAGGTTTTAAGATTCAACAGACTGGGCTGGAGAGATGGCTCAGTGATTAAGAACACTGACTGCTCTGCCAGAGGTCCTGAGTTCAATTCCCAGCAATCACATAGTGGCTTACAACCATCTGTAATGGGATCTGATGCCCTCTCTGATGTGTGTCTGAAGATAACTACTGTGCAGTCATATACATAAAATGAATAAATAATTCCTTAAAAAAAAAGATTCAACAGGCATTCCTATTGTGCACAAAAAAGCAAATGCTTCTTGGTAGCTAAGGCTATACTGTAATTGTACCTCACAGGGTACTAATGGAACCATCTATGTTGGCTGCTGTGGCAGCCTGCGCCTATGACTTCAGCATTGGGGAGGGAGAAGCAGTAGGATCAGGGGATCAGCCTCAGTTACACAGCAAGCTTAAGGAAGCCGTGGCCACACAACACCCTATCTTTATGAATAAATATCAAGCTCCTGTAATTTCAGAAACTACAAATGAAATACAAAGGCCAAAGACCACAGTCAGAATTTTCCCAACCCCAAAGAGCAAATGAGCGTGTAACACAACCCATGCGAAATGAGCTCTTCCCTTACGATGCATTCAGTGACAAAAATACCACATCCTTCCAAAGCTTGTGTCTGTCTCTCTCACCTGAGACAGGGTCTCTTTATACAGCCCCAGCTGCCCTGGAACTTGCTACATAGACCAAGCTGGCCTTGAACTCAGAGATCTGCCTGCCTCTGCTCTGTGTGTGGGGTGGGGTGGGGATGGGGTAGGCAGGGATTAAACGCATGCACCACTGCCCCCGCTCTGCAGTTTCTTTTAACCCACATACTGAGCATGAGGCCAGGGCTCTGGGGAGCACAGCCGCGCGGCCCTTACCTCCATCCTCATGATGATCCTGTTGTTTCTGGTAGTGATGCTCATCACGTGCTGAAACCTCAAGTCTCTGGCCTGGAGTGCTAACTCATGGTATAATTCAGTTTTCTTCCTCTCTATAAGAGAAACAGAATGGGTGAAACCACTAACCTAAGGAGCACAGGCTGCTACAGTGGTCCCCCGCCTCATCAGTGCAGTTCTATCACTATCACACAGAGGCTGAGAGAGACCTTAACACCCATTCTAACCGTAAAAGCAGATTCATGCGAACTCAAGTTCTCCCCTCTCTTCCTTTCTGCAATATTCCACTGTGCTCAGCAGCCCACTGGGGACCAATATAAAAACCAGAAGCAAGTATGAGAAGAACCTACAGCAGCAATTTTTACCTTTGGACATAATCTTCTTCTCTGACAGGATGTCACACATCCCAGACTGACCTTGAACTCCTTAAAAATCCTTAAAAATTGAAGAACGACCTCAAATGCACAGCATTACGGCTGAGGACTGAATCTACGAATTCCAGTATTTTGGGCAAGCCTCTACCAACTGAGCTACATCTCTAGCCCACAGTCGTGTTTTTTTTTTTTTTTTTTTTTGAACATAAATTTTATCAACTAGTTTTTTAGATTTATTTCTATATATGAGTGTTTGCTTACACATATAACCGTGTTATCACATGTTGGTGCCTGTGGAGGCCAGAATGCTACACTGGATCCCCTGGAACTAAAGTTACTGATGATTGTGAGCTACTATGTGGATGCTAAGAATTGAACCTGGGTTCTTTTCAAAAGCAACAAGTGCTTTTAATTGCTAAGACATTTCTCTAGCCCCCATATTTTCTGTTTTTATCACTATAGCATCATATTCAAGGTTTGAATCTGTGAATAAGTTGAATTTGGTAATTTATTATTGGACAGATAAAAACTAAAAACAGTCAATATTCACAGCAGATCCTTCTATCTAAACTTACTAGCTAAGAATATAGTAGATGAGAGAAACTTGTGACAGGCCGGGGATAGCAGTATGTGTATTTTTGTGTTAAACAACACCTTCAACAAGGCCATAAGTGGAACAGCTTAGAAAAGAGGCTCTGGGAGAAACACAAGGACATACGCAAGGATGAACAGGGCCACAGGGCTGCAGGGAGAGGTGAAACTGGAGTCTTAAGCCACTCAGTGCCCCATACTTCCATCTTTCTACTGCAGCAATGGGGTGGGGGTTGGGGTGGTGCATAACTCTACTTTAAAGCTGTTTCAGAATGAACAGGACTCAGAGGGCTGTGGAAAGGAGACTGACAGAAGAAACGGGAGGGAAGACAGCAGAGCTCCGCAGTTAGCTCTACTGCAAATACTCTTTAAGTATACTGGGAGTCCAAGTGGCTCCCTGAGAAGCAATCACAAAGAACACTCTAACACTACAATTTCCAATTTTTCACCAAATTCACTATTCCATTGATAAAGATACTCACCAAAAGAGGTAACGTTTCCTTCTTTGTCAAACTTTGTCTAAAGATAGATGATAAAAACAAGTATTAATTTAATCTCAATGTAGTGTATTTTTATGTGCTGAGAAATAGCCTTAAGACATTGAAATGCAATTATAAATCATATCTGCAAAAGTCAGAAGAAAAATCCCTACTTTTTATTTCCTTGCTAATATAAACTTGATAGACTAACTTTTTATCTTGGTTCCTCAAGAAATTCATTCATGGAGAATAAGTTCTGTCTCTAGGTAACCTTGCTTTGGGTACCAATGGCTTTGTGAGTAGACGACACTAGGCTGGACATGATCTTAAGCCTTGCTATGACAATTGTGGGGGCCCCGGAAACAAGTTTCCAGGAGACATGGGGACTGTAAGCCATGGACCTCATGTGTTCTTCTGTAAATTCATCTACACCTGAGTTATCAATTAGCAGGCTAGGGAAGCCTCTGATGACTTCAAGGACTCTCTGGCTGGGAAAGGACTTGACAATGATCCTTTGGGTTGGGGATGTCACTCAGTGGAAACATGACGCTGCTCTGGCCTTGTTGCTGAGTGTGGCTGTCTCACAAATCTAAATGTCTTCTCAGAGTTAAGAAGTCTCTGGTAGGCATTGCAGAATGAACTGAGACACAGAGAAGAGGAGCTACAGCAGTCCCAGAATACACCAGGCCACATTAGCTTTGCTTTGTAGTCATGGTTGCAGGTGTCAAATGTGAACACATAGGCTGTTCTACTTAAGAAACTAAACACAACCCAAGCATGGGTCTTAGTGACACAGACACTAGGTTACTGCTTTGAAAACAATTTATGCTATGATAGCAGAATTAAAACAAACCCTACAACTCACACTTCAGCCTGTTTCTTCTGAGAAAGATCTCATCCACAGGATGGAAGCAGGAGGAAACACCACGGACAAGGTTTTTTCTTTTTCCTTTTTTTGAGACAAGTTTTCTCCATGTGTAGCCCTGGCTGTCCTGGAACTTCCTTTATAGACCAGGGTGGCCTTGAACTCACAGGAATCTGCCTGTCTTAGCCTCCTGAATGCTAGAATTATGTGCACCACCATGCTCCGGGGTGGGTGAACTTTTATTAAAAGCTTTGTATCTGTGTAATACTGACTGGCTTGCCTTAGATTGATTTCTGAAACATATATACTCACTGCAGAAAATAGGAAAATTTGTAAAACTATATAAATCACAGGATTTGACAAATTTTTAGAGGAAACTATGCCAATAATAACTTACACAGTGTCTGCCAGTGTTCCTATAACTCATACCTCTACCAACATATTATTTTTTACATTTTGATATCTATGCATCATTTTCTTTAGTGAGACCCTTTTCTGAAAGACATCATATAAACTGACATTTAAAAATGGTTACTTTGTAACCATCTCATTTTTGCAACTCATTCTTTTCAATAGAAGCAACTGATTATTTGTGGTCTTGGGAGAAATTTATTTTGCTTACAAAGAACTTTCTTTTAGTCATCATCTGACTTTGTATCCTTTTGAGGAAGGTGGCTAATGACTGTGTGGTCCAGGCTGGCCTCACACTCACATCCTTTTGCCTTCGTCTCCTGCGTACCTGAGAATCAGTGGCCTTGATTCTATTGTGGAACTCAACAATTTTAGAAAATTAAGAGTAAGTACTTTCCAAGTAATTCTGCAGAAACTGGCAAGGTGTCTAAGGACTGTAATCCAGCATTTGGGAGGCCAGAGCAATAAGATTGTCCTTAGTATGAGGCTACCTTGAACTGACACTGAGTTTTATATCTCAGCCTAGTCAAGAGACTGACTCAAAATGCAAAGCAAAGCAAAACAAAAACCAAACACAAACAATAAAAAAGCAGAAACAAACAAACAAACCCTAAATAAGCAACTCTGGGATTCCTCTTAGTTTATACTATCCATAAAGACAAGTTCTAGCCAGGTGATGCTGGCATATGCTTTTATCCCATCATTCAGGAAGCAAAAACAGGCCTATTTCTGTGTTCCAGGCCAGCCTGGTCTATACAGAGAAAGGAAAGAAGAAAAACAAAAAACAAAATCAACCAAAGTTCTTTAGATGGGCATGGTGGTATGTTCCTTCAATCCTAGCACTTGAGAAGCAGAGGCAGGAGGATCCTGAGTGCTCTAGAACAGGCAATGAGGCTTATACAGTAAAACTATGTCTTTAAGTTCTCTACGAAGCTAATATTAATTAAACCCATATTATCTGTAAAGAATAACACGCGCTGGATGGTCACTGTATCTGAGGCACCATTCACAGGGTTTGTAGTTTTTACTTCCAGTAAAAAGTAGGTGATTTTACCTTTTGTTTTCATTTTTATGAACATATCTGTGTGTGTTTATATGTGTTCTGGGGCACAGAGGAAGGTGTCGGACCCCTGGAGTTGATGGGGTTGTGAACCCACCAGGTGTGGATGCTGAGAGTGAAAGTCATGTCCCCTGGAAGAGCAGCAGGTGTTTAGCCATTTCGTCAGCTCCTAAAGCACATCTACTTCTAGTTCACAATGAACATATTAACATACAGTGATGTTACCTCAGCTTGGTACTCTAATCCTCATAATTCCCTAAGGCAATAATTCCTGGTTATTAATGAGAAAACCAAGGTACAAGATGTCACAGTAACTTGTCTAAGTCCTCCTACGGAAAAAGAGCACACTGAGATTTAAACTTAGGAAGTCTGGCTCAGATTTAAAACTTTTTTGGAAACCATAAACGCTTATGAAATGAGCTGCACAAACAATTTACAATTTTACTTAGGTTATTTATTGCTAACATTTTGTCACCATGGGCTTAATTTCATAAATGTGCACACAAACCACAGGAAATGTGTTATTAATTCACTCAATTCCCCCTGAACCATTTCACAGAGTTTTAGAGATCATAACTACCCTTCCGGGCATGAACTCAAACACTGCCCTCAGCTGTCTCCTCGGCATCTTCCAAGCCTCTGAATGGCTTTCAAGGGATTCTAAACAGACTCACATAAAATCTGAAGTGTTCACAAAGGAAGCTTTGGGGCTGGGGATGTGGCTCAGTTGGTAGAGTGTTTGCCTGGCATATAAAAAGCCCTGGGTTTGATAACCAGGACTGCATACAGTAGGTGTGGTGGTGCATTAAAACATAGCATAGTAAAGCACACCTATAATGAATGCCACAGGTATTACAACTTGAGAGGGTAGAGGCAGGAGGACAAGCTCAAGATCACCCTAGACCACATAGCAAGACGGAAGTCAGTCTAAGTTATGAGACTTGTTCTCCTTCAGCCCCCACCAAAAAGAAAAGAAACTTTGGCTGCTGGTGGAAGCCTTTAACATGTACTTCAAAACCTTAATTTTATTGAAAAGGAGAAAACTTTTGATCTGTCATTTGAACAGCCTGTTCCATATAGCAAGAGCCCCAGTCATTAGTAAAGTTTCAAGAGTACCTCTAGACCAATCTGTCAGGCACATGGGTCACTGGCCAAATACAACACAAAGACAAATACCTTCTCCCACTCCAACCCTGTGAACTTTCGAGTTACTGGATGCTCTGTGGATGCTGTGTACTCACCACAGCAAACACCTGGGCCACGCTGGCTAAAGTAGCTTGAGAGGCATCAGAGGTTCTAAACCGGTGCACATCACCTGAGAACAAAGGAGAGAATGAATGTCCTGGGCTAACCCATTTTCCTAGACAGCTGCAACTCTCACAGGCCATGGAGACTTTGGCTTTGGCCCTGGGCTTTGTCCCAAGCACTGTACAACAGTAATAAAATAAAACTCACATTTGTTTATTGGGTGTGTTTGAGTACTGTGGAAGGCAGAAGTCTAGTCTCTCCTTCCACCATGTAAGCTCTAGGGACTGAACCCGAGTCACAAATAAGTTCCTGTGTCTTACAGACCACTTGGTTCCCAAGTATAGGGGAAAAAAAAGCATGTAACAAAAGAACTGGGTGTGGAGAAGGCGGTTTTGACTGACAGCAGCTCATTCTGGGAAAAATTTAAGTACAATTAAAAAAAAAGAAAAGTACCCCAAACCACTCCTGTCAGGACTGTTTCTGAGCAATCACATTTGTGGAAAACACTGTCCTCAGGTTTCACCATTGGGAGACAGAAGCATCAGCAAAGACTCCTCTGTCTTCACCCAGCGCTTTTACTCCCTTGGCTGTCTGCTTGCACAGTTGAAGAGCAGACTTCATCAAAGTCTTCATCATCAATGCTTAGCACTGGCTTCAGATTCAACCTTAGTTCTAGGAATTCCCTATCGTATTCCAGAGCAACTATGTAACTGTATAAATGTGCCCAGAAGAAATTAACATAGTAAACAGAATTAATAACACCCCAGTCTTGCTAACTGCAGCTCCTGCTGCCCAGCACCGGCTTTGGTCTGGGCTCCACAGTGAGTTTCAAGTCAGTTTGGACTGTGAGACCACGACTCAAAACAAATAAAAGCCCCACCTAACAGAATTCTGTGACATGAAAGCAGAAGGGGGCATAAGGAGGTAAAAAGGACCAGTAGTATGAGGGGTGTCAGGAAAAAGTATGTATAAAAGTACTCTCATAAAACCCATTACTTCGGACTGAGCAGATGGCCTGGCCAGCAAAATGCATGCCGCCAACCCTTGTGTTAAGACAACTGACTTGAGCAAGCTGTCATCTGACCTCCACATACAAACTCAGAGAAAGGCGCTTAAATGCTAATTTTAAAACAATTACAAAACAGACGAAAGCAGCCAACGAGGCAGTTAACGCTTCTAACTGCTTCATTCAGAAAGTTGAGACAGGACCGCTGTCAGCTGGCGGCCAGCCTGGGCTACACAAGGAGACCCTGTCTCAAGAAACAAGAAACCGCAATCAAGTCCTTGCAATGCTGGCCTGGGAACTAAGGGCAGGGTGAGCCTGGCTAGGCCGAGCAGAGCTGAGGACGGCGGGGCCAAGGGCAGGCGGGGCAGAGGCCGCGGGGCCCCGCGGGACGCCCGTACCTGCAGCACGGAGTGTGCTCGGTGCCTTTGGGATCCCGGAGAGCAGCGGGGTCGCGCGGCTGCAGCCGGCAGCTAGGCTCAGGCGCGCAGCCGCCGTACACAGGGTCCTCCGAGACTGCGCGGCGCGGGGCAGCAACCCGGGCAAGCAGCGCAAGCATTCCATGGCGTGCGGGCAACCGGGAAGCCGCAACAAGACGCCGGCCCGGCATGCCGGAACTCGGGTAGATCAGCGCGCCGCAACAACCGCGCACCACGCCTGCGCGAGCCGTCCCGCGCCTGCGCGCTGCTGTCCACGCATGC